ATTCTGCATTTCTTATCTCAGGGCTTTTATGGCAAGAAATATTGCGGTAGGCCCAGTAATTTACATTTTTCCAATAAAATTCTAAATACATATGCAGCAGCTCTTTACTGACTGGCTTCATGTTATAAATTATAAGCTTGGAAGTAAATACATTAGGAAAGATATTGATTTCTAAATAGTCACCATGAGTGAGATTTTATCCTGCTGTTGAATTATTGCACCTCTTGTCTTTTATAGCTGTATCTTATTGCCCAGCTACTACACTTTGTGGCAAGTAAGTAAATAAATAACACCGCCTCACTTCTGACAGTTTGATTCATTCAGCTCCACATGGCAGAAATAGCAGGTACGAATCTGTGCAAGGGTTTTCTAGCAGCTCTGCTTGGAGAGACATTTTGGGATCTGCAGCTATCATAAGCACTGCTTTCAGCGTGTCACACCACCAAGCATTGACGGCTTTACTGTGGAAGCGGCAGATGAAGCCCAGTGCCTGTTGGAAAAGATTAGCAAAAAAAATACCAGTACTGCTCTGGGATGTCATTGAATGAACAGTCCTTGTTCATTCAACACGTCTGCTCCAGGGTTGTTCAGCGATTTTGTTGTTTTAATGGATAATCTCAGCCTTTACTACCTTAACACCATGATTACACATGGCATCTGGTTAGGAAACAGGAACAAGGCACTTGGTCTGTGTAAAAAATCAAGCAGAGAGCTCAAGTTGCAGTTACAGCTGGAGCACCCTCCATACTCCCATCACCCCAACCCTCCCCTACAACCCAAATGCCACCTCGTGCCCCAACTTGCGACTTGCAGCCACCCCGGCTCCCACACCCTTCCATTCACAGCTTGGCTGTGTTTCCCTTCCCAACTGCAATGCAGTTTGTAGGGCAAGGAAATGGATGTGGCATTGTCTTTGCTTCCATAGCACCCGATGTATAGACATAGACACAAGAAAGGCAAAGAGCCTCAGAGGGACACACCATGATGAGACCAACAGCAGTGTGGAGGAAGCTTCTTTCCTGATGAGGAAGGCCGTAGCACATCAGGCAGCTGGCTCGCAGGCAGGTGGAAGAAAAACACGTGAATCCAAGGAGATGTCCCAGATGCGCTGGGTCATTCTCTGCCAGGTCTGAGCTGGGCAGCTGAGGTATGCCTGAACTCAGTTATATTTGTCAATTCAATCTGTTTTCTGGGAGTCAACAAAACCCAAGCTGTTGTTCCAAATATTTATTAAAAAATAACTGCAAGTGAAAAAAAAATCAATAAGCAGTCCAATGGCAGATTTATTACAGTTTTAACAAGTAAAGGGAATGAATCTACTTTACAAACAAAAATAGCAATAGGGAAATATACTGAAGAGTTCTTAATCAAATTATAAAATGGAAACAGCATACACAATATATATTTATATATAAATCTATTGGTTACATTCTTCTTAAATAGGTTAAACAACATTCATTAGCAACATCCAAAAGTATTTGTGGCAAGAGATTCGTATTCTTTCACGGCAATACTGCCTCTCCGTAAGTTTATGTCCACTACAACAATTTTAGAGTTTGGGGCTAGAACAGGTATTTAACACCACCAGGTCAAATCCAGAGCAAGTGATTTAAAACCAGTTTATAGGAGATCTCAGTGTTATTTCTGAGACTTAAGGCCAGGTATGCCACGGGTGGAATTGGCAGAACATGGTTTAAGCAGTGGGATCTCCTTGAAAACTCAAATTTGGATTAAAGCTAGATTCCCACAGGGAAACTCTGACACTGCTCAGGATTCCAAGTTTAAGACACAATTCCCTTTTTCTGTAAACAAATATTAACAAAATAAACTCTCTGTACCCTGTTAACCATTTCCTAAAATAAAAATACGGAGCTGCTTGGGTAGTCTTAAAATAAGTCAGTATAAAAATCTATCTTATTCTAAGCACTGTCTCTGTATCAAAGTGCTAGCAGACTGCACAGTGTTTTCTGTTTGAAGCCACGTTCCCTGCTTTTCGTGTTTCATATTGCAAACCTCAGCTCCAGTAGGACTGAGCTCAGGACTCCAGCTGTGGTGGCTGAGTCATCCCAGCTCCGGGCTCCCTTTTGGGCAGCCCTCACTTGTACTGGGACACCCAAAGCACTTCTGGACGGGTCATGCTAGGGCAAGCTCTCTGTGCCATTAGATGGATGGTGCCCATCGCAGACCCATCCCCACCCTGCGGGGCGGTGGCAGGGTCTGCGCCTGCAGGGAGCGGCTCAGGACCCACCCCAGTTCAACAGGCACTTAGCCTGTCCCCTGCAAAGACCTGGGCAGGAGTCGGGCTCCAACCCTGCAGCAGAAGCCAAGCAGATCCCCCCGCCACTTTGCATAGTTTGGCTCAGCAGTGACTCTCTGCGTGTCCTTGGTAGATGCCCTATCGTGCTCCTGCTGCTCCCCTTCCTCCCAGGTGCCAGCAGAGACTCCCACAGCTTGCCTGTTCAGGACCTCTTTGGCTTACTTGGTTTGGTTCAAACGCTCGCTGGCTGTTACTTTGGAGCCTGAATAAGAAATAGTGCAAATACAAGCTTAAAGAAAAAAAAACAAAACACATTGCCTTCACTGAACATTCAGTTAAAAAGACAAGGATCTGTAAGATGAAACCCCAGATGTGGGGTATTTGAGACATTTGGCAAACCTGTACAAGATTCTTCAAGATTGTCTTAAGGGAGTATATTTGGCTTGGTGCTGAATGCTTAAAATTATTTGCTAACATGATTCTAACTAACACTGTTGTGGCTAATTGCAAACAACTTTGAAGACCAGGCACAGAACATGGGACATCTCCTTGGTGCGACGGGACAAACACTCCCTGCAGTTATGGATTCCTTGGTGCTTTTCTTATCCAAGTTTGACTCAAAATGATTTTGTTTGCACGGAATGGTGTGAATTCATCCAGACTGGTTTTGCTGGAAGGCAAACGGACCACATTATTTCTGAGGGTCAAGATACCTTTTTTTAGCCATGCTCAGGCAGATTAACAGGCCAAAACAGAACTAAGTTTGATTCCTATTATGGGAGGCTGGCTGCAGTGCATTTTAAAACAATAAGCATGTGAAGTGGCTGAGATGTTCAAGTTTGAAACTTCACAAAGCGCCAGGGTGCCCTATAAATGCAGAGACCCCCACTTGGCATTGCAGCGACCTTCCCCACGTGGCACCATGCATGCACACTGCAGTCCTCGGTGAAGCAATGCGCCGTGCAATGTTTCTTGGCCCACTCCATAAAGGGGCTTAATTGCTCTCAACTCCTCTTCCCCCCAAAAATCAGCAGAAGGGACAATTCAGCAACAAGTTGCTTTCAGCAAGCAATGCACAAATGGCTGGCTAACTTCACTAGGGATTAGGCACTTGGCCTGCTCAGGGTTTCTGTAAATCCTATGTACATCCACCTCTAGGCACCTATGTGCTATTGTGAAGTCTGGTTCTCAGGTCCAGCCCTGGGAACTAGTTCTGCTTTGGCTATGATCGAATAGGCAAGACTGCACTCTTTGCTCAGGAGCAGGGCTGACTGCTGTCCTCATTAGACTGGTGGGGCGCAGGCCCGCTCCCCTCCATTGCACAGCTCCTGCTGTTCCTCTCCGTACACCAGCATCAAGCCAGGTTTGCTAGCTTGAAGGTTGAGTTGCACCAGGGGAGTTTTACCTGTTGATTTTATGGGCCTGTTTCCAAGCAGGATCCACACATTTAAAACCATAAGGAGATGAATTCACAATGAAGCTAGGGAATAAAAGAAGAAGTCATATTTACAGACAGCTGCCATCACCCCCCACACACTCCATTAAAGAAACAAACAGCCTTATCTTTGCCCATGTGCTTGTTTCTAATGTGATACTGGCCTTCCCAGCACTTCAGGACATTGTTTCCAATGACAAAGATAACAGAGTTCAGGCTTTAACTGAGAACTGATGCGTGAATATGCTTAAGTAGCTTTCCTCTCCCAGCTCCATGAATTAATTACAGCTTTGTACATGAATAAAATGGAAAAAATTCTCCACTCTTCTTTTTAACCCCCATCAAATTCATATTATGTGGTGGGCAAAAGGACAGATGTTTGGAACAATCACTTCCTTCCCCTTCTCCCTTTGTCTGCACATATAAATATTACTGGAACTTAAAAGCCAGCATCTGCATTAAACAGATGGGACTCTGCTATGTTAATCTTTTTTATGATGTTCATGGAGCAGGGACTTCTGAAAGACATTTGGAACGAATGCCTGCCATGACAGGATACTGCCTAAATTAGAATCAGGCTCCAAGTATCTTCCCGCAATTGGATTATGTCATATGTTATACTCTTACTCATGGCCTGGGAAGGAGAGCGCAAGGGTACTTAATATCTGTAGATACTCAATTAAAAAGAGTGCATCAGACACTCACTAGGTCTGGCTTTTGCCTGCCTCACATCTAGCCCAAGCCCGCTTGTAAACCTGAAGAGAAAAGAAAAAGGAAAACGAGCGCACGTGCAGTGGCAGTCATCACACCCATACGTATGCCTGCTGCCTAATACTGTTACCGAACTGAAAATGTAAAACGTCACGCAATTTGCACTTTGTTTGCTATAGTTTGGGTTATGTTAATGCTAAGAAAATAGAATCCAGAGGGAGGGGAGAAAGGTTTGTTTGTAAAACATGGTGATTTTACTGGCTCTTGAAGGTTGCATTTCAAGCATAACTGCGTTTCTCCATGCTTCGCTTTTTGAGGGTATTGGCATGCTTGTGGCAAAAGCAACCAAACCAATTAATTAGGCACATGGTGAAAGATGGCATAGGAAAAAGAAAAAGAAGATAAAGATCAGTCATTTCCATTCTGAAAATCCTTACTCAAAGCCTTGGTGTCACAGCAATAAGCTAAGCATGAAAAGTAACAGACTCCTTCCTTGCATGAGGGGCCCAGCAACACCAGCTGTGACGTGCACACATAGGAAGGCTCTTATATATTATATGTACAACTGTAATCCAGAATAAATAGCACTGTTCTGACTCATAAGTGTATTTCAGCTTGGTTGTTGTTGTTTGTTACAGCCGGAGATGGCTTGCTTTTCATCCCCTCTGTCCCACCCTTGGACACATCGATGAACAACAACCTGGGAGTCCGGAGCGTCAGCAGTATCCTTTTGTACTCCTTCCGGAAATTCTGGTTAAGAAGCCCATAGATCACAGCATTGAGGCAGCTGTTAAAATAGGCCATAAAATAGCTCAGGACAAAAAGCCATTCTGGAATGTGTGGCTGCACTTTTGAAGGATTAATCGAAACAGCAAGGCCAATAAAGTTTAACGGTCCCCAGCACACAGCGAAAAGGACAAAAACCACAAACATAGTCAAGAAATTCCGGATGTCAGCTGCTCTAAGCTTCTGCTTGCAGTCTTGTCTCACCCGGTGTTTGACTTGAATCACCAAAATCCAGATCCTTAGGTAGCAAAATGTCACGATGGACAGTGGGACGATGAAGTGAACCACCACCACTGTGATGGTGTATGATGTACTCACTGTCTGGGCGAAGGTGCAGGAGTAAATCCGGGGGTCGTATTGCAAGGAGCCAACAAATAAGTTTGGCACAATTGCCACCACTGTGAGTATCCAGGTCAGGCAGAGATAGCAGCAGGTGTTCTTCAGGTTGAAGAGTTTATCATACCGAAGGCTGTGGCAGATGTAGCAGTAGCGGTTGATTGCAATCGCTGTGATGTTGAAAATGGACCCGATGACACTCAAGCCCATCAGGAACCCGCTTATCTGGCAGTGAACGTTTCCCATGGTCCATCCATTATGGAAAATGGCACTCAGGATCAGAGGGTATGGATAAACTGCAACTACAAGGTCTGCGACAGACAAACTGACGACAAAGATGTTGCCTACAAAAAAGGAGAAGAGATCATGGGAGGTTAGCATAGGTCTGGGCAGACAACTTGCAACTCAGAACTCATCTTTAGGCCTAACTCTTCTCATAGGCTTTACTCTACTCTCCATTTGGAATTCGAAATCCTAGAAAATAAGACTTTGCTCTACTAGTGACAGCAGTGGAGAGTAACTAGTCATGATTAACCTGCATACTCCTTAAGAAAATCCTAAACAGGAAGCGTTACCCTTAAGTCAGCTATAGCTGTGGGTCAGGTTCCTGCGTTCCTCTAAGTTGTGTAGAAGAGAAGGATTTTGGTCTCCTTGTTAATCAGCCAGCACGACTGTCGTCACCAGGCAGCCACCTAGCATTCGCTGTCCTGCAGAGAACTGCATTCCCTTAAATACTATATAGGATGCAGTACTTTCTATAACATCACATAGTGACACTTTACATAAGCTCTGTCCATCATGGGACAAAGAATTGGGGCAGGCGGGTTAAGTTTTCAGTGGTTTATTCATTGCACTGACAGAAGTTGCATGGAAGAAGTAATTTTTGGTCTTTTGCATGTGAACAGGTATATTTTCACCAGAATTTCTGCGGTGTTCATGCTAAGGAGCGTGTGTTCTTTCAGGAGCCATGGTGGAGCCAGCCTTTACGCACTTATCTTATTAGGTATGTTTTCCTGTTCCTTTAATATTAAAGTTGTCCGGTCCAATGTGGAAGGTCAATCACTCCCACACTGTCTGGGCCTGGGCAGGGAATATGATTAATAAGCTGCTGTCAGCCCACTCTGCAGAGTATATGCTGCAGGTTGGCCATTTACGCTCTAAAACTAAAAGAGTAGAGAGTCTGTGCAAATATGAAATAATTTAAGCCTTGCTGGATGGAAAATGGCCCATTGCGTGGGACAGCACCTGTCAGCTCCGCTCTGTGCAGCAGCCTCCAACAACCCGGGCAGCCGGTGACTTCCCAACAGCAGATGCTGCTCATTTTATGAGTCTGGTGGATTTTTAGGTAGGCAAAAAGCCTTTCAGTTCAGTTTACCAGTCAGAGTAGAGGAGTGCATTAAGAAAGGGACCCTGAGGTCTTTTGGGAACCGGTGTAACTACAGGATCAGCTATAACGTTGAAAAGGACGTCTGTCAAAATTCAGCTTTTTGATGAGTAGGCAAATTGTCAGTTCAGAAGGAGCTCACCAACGCAGTTAGAGGACAGCTCACTAGAAAAAGCAGATGTTTTTCCTAACTCTACTACCTTCAGGTATATCTGCAGTGGCAGGCAGGAAAATATTACTCAAGTACCAGTAGGGGCTATGTGTAACACATTTAAGGTGTTAACATCTGTGTGTTATAGGCAATATCCCAGCTCACTGATCACACCTGCACCTTCTCTTCAAACCCTCATACCCTGCTGTCTACCAGATTATATGAAAAAACCACTAAAAAGAGGTCTTTTTCTGTAGTATCCATGATGGGACTCTCTGAGATCTCAGGTCAGCTCAGTCACTGCCTTCAGTATTTGGAAAATACACCCAAGGGCTGGCAGAAATCACGGCCGCATTGCCATTGCGGTTGTCTCACTGCAATGTTTGTTCCAACAAAAACTATCAGGATAAGTCAACAGTTCATAGCAGACAGCAGAGTCCACTTCACGCTGACTGGAAAACAGTCCAGACTTGAGAACAGCCCACGGCAGCGTGGAGCTGAGACAACTGACACAAAGCATCATTTTAAAATAAACATTCGCAGAGGTCATGTGAAGCGCTGAAATCTTTTGAGAGAGAGATTTCACATGGACAGGTTTACCACAGCACACAACTTCTGTGGCTGCTGTGCCTCAGTGCTCCATTTTGCTAATTAATATCTTTCTTAGAGCTTTTTAAAATGCAGTCGCTGAACCTGGTCACCATATAATTAACTCTGTTTATGCCTGCTGTCAAGGGCAGAACCACCTGTGGTCAGGCTCGGTGCTTGCACAGGCACCCTAGAGAGGGAACGCTCTTCTACAGCAAAACTGTAATCCCTTCAATCAAAATCATGCCACTTCAACAAAAAGCAGAATGTGTCCCCAGCACCAGAGTTTCCTTTTGGAATCACACAGAATCATAGAATGGCAAGGGTTGGAAGGGACCTCGGGAGATCATCCAGCCCAACCCCCCGGCTAACGCAGGGTCACCCAGAGCATGTTGCACAGGACATCGTCCAGGCGGGCTTTGAATATCTCCAGAGAAGGAGACCCCACACCCCCCCTGGTCAGCCTGTGCCAGTGCTCTGTCACCCCCAAAGTAAAGAAGTTCTTCCGCATATTCAACTGAAACCTCTTATGTTTCAGTTAGGTTTTCCAAAACAATTTTCAAGACAGCAAAAGAGAGACAAGAGAGGTATCAGCAACCTAATCTGGGAGACTTCCAGAGGATGCTGTGGACAGACTCCACTGATGGGACCACAGCCCCCCCTCTTCCCTGGATCTGTCCCACTTGGATGTACATTTATATGCACAGGTGGTGGGAGAGCAAGCCTCTGCATTTGCTGGGGATGAGAGACAGCCACATTCACACCCAGGTCTGCATCAAGGCAGAACAAATCTAGATATTCCCTACTTCAGACAGCACATCAGTGAATTTAATCCAAAGCTTAGCAAAACTATAGCAAAAATTATCAGCCTCACATCACTGTCAGCTGCTGGGAGAAATGAGCAGTCCCTGTCAGTCTTTCTTCACTAACTTGAATAGTTGGGAGGAAGTAAAAATATAGGGGGAAAAAAATCTATAAGAAAATAATATTCACAGGATGGACTGAGTAGCTTGGATTCAACCCAAGAGCGCAGTACTGTGTGTATGATTTTGACACCACTTCATTGCATGTTGCTCCAGCAGGGAGAAAATGAGACAGTCTTATCAAGATGGGAATTAATAATCTCCTCCTTTACTTGGAGAGCAAACCTGCCATCCTCTGCACTGTGCTTTCAGCTCGCAGTCTTGGCTCTCCTATCAGCTAGAAGGGTTATCGCCCCGGCAGGGTGTCAGGTCCCTGAAAACAAGGTCAAAAAGGTTCACTCAGTACTATTTCTCAGAAACAAACCCATTTTCCATTTTATTTGGCAATGTGGTCAACTTCATCTTTTTCTTCTGGTGAGATGAACATGAAGGCCAGACTCATGGAATAGCCACTTGCCAGTCAGTCCTGAAAATCAGTGCATTTTTAACGCCTGAGTGCAGATAGAAGGGGGCACACTGCACGCCCCCAGAGCAGAACACACCCTTCTAAGCATGGGAACTGGCTGCTGGCTAATTATTAAAACACGTAACTTGAGTTAAACACTAGCTTGTTGAAAAACAACAGGCTGGTTTTGAAAACTGCTTTAGCCCCACAATCCCTGGTTTGCTATGAGACCACCATGTGCTGGGCTGTGCAGCCAAAGGCTCATGTCCTTGTCCTTGGTAGGATGGTTTTGGACCCTCGCTCCCAAAACCACAGCAGAATGGGAAGCCATCTAAAGTGCGGCTCTTAGGGAAGGTAAAGAGCAGTCTCCTGCCAGTGACCTTCACTGTATTTTTTTACATTTTTCCACTATAAAACAGAGGAGACCTGCCCATAAATAATACCAGCAGGACTTTATCTCAGATTTAAAATTATCTGCTTCTGTGACACTATTTTCAGACGTATATTTTTCTCTTTGTGGGCATGTGACTGTATTTCCTCATTAGCTTTCACATTTTCCATCCTGTTTTTAACTTCTACTTAGTATAAATTGGATTGTGTGCTGCTGTGCTCCATCCCCCAGTTACGGAGTCATACGTGAAGAAGCATGAATGGTGGAGAAGGGCAAGTCTCTCACAAGCCTACTGGTAATGCAGACTTGGCCACCTTTTCAGAGAAACTTTCAATCTTTTTACATCACAGAGGTCCAACACAAAGCTATAGATTATAGAGATATGATACACCGTTCACAGTGTAACCCACAAATTGTTTGGGAAAAAAAACCCCACAAGACAGCCTGAAGCCCAGCAGCAGGGCAGATTATAAGCATGTGCGAGTAATACAAAAGGAAATTTATTCCAGATCTGCCCTGGTACTCCTGCCTTTGAGCTCCCCTCCTCCTTCCCATACCCCTATACTCCTGTTTCTGCTCACTCCAACAGTCTGCTCCAGAAGTTCCCTGGCCCTGCCCTCTCATTTTACCTGGATTATCCAACAACACAGATTATCTGAGGATTTACTGTCAAGTCCTGGTGCTAGAAAATGTGGAAATACCACAGTGAGTTCTGCAAATCGACAAACCACATACGTAAAGGTCTCCAGTGGCAGCCTGCCCAAACAGCACCTGACTTTCATACAAAAGGACATCATTCTTCTACAGAGATTAACCAAGCATCGCTGTACAAATACAAGGGTTGTTGGCTCTGCCTGCCTCAGGAGGCTGTTGTAAATCCCTCAGTTGCAGAGATTTAGCCTCTCCCTGCTGTTCCCACACAGCAGTTGTGGGCTGCCCTTTAGGACGCACGGGTTGTGTTTTAGGTACCCAGAACCTAGAAGCTGTGTTGAAAGGGGAAAAGGAAAAAAAGGAGGTAAAATGTTTTTTTCTGAAAATCGGCTATTTTTATAAATCCCAGAACGTCCAAAGCAAGCACCCAAAAGCCTCTGTTATCCATGTAAAGCTCTCTTATGCTCACATTCCTTGCTGAAATATTACAGAACTATGTTTGCTTCAGGTTAACAAGATACTGATGCTCAGTGCAGCCTGAAGTTAACGCTGCTTTCTGTAACCCTAGTGCTGAAATCACAATGTCCTGAGCGACAGGAGTTGCACCAAAGCAAAGAGGCAGCTTGGTGGATCAACATCTGCTCACCTGGCAGAGCCCAGCTCCAACTGAGGAGGAGAGAGGGCTTTGCTGCCCTGGTTGCCCCTGCCTGCCAGTCACCTTGCAGGCATCTGACTTGCTCTCGAATAGCTGGTGCCCAGCACAGCATTTTGGGGCAAACAAACCCTCGTACAACAGTCCCAGGCCCAGCAG